ATCCTTCTTGAACTCCTGAGCTGCAAATCAGTACAGGCACCTGGACCTGGTTGTCCTGTGGGCACTCAGAACCCATCTAGCTGCCTAAGGACCCCATGGTTTCCTTATCCCACCCAAATGCTCCCTTCTTTTTCATTTTCTGTCTGGTGAAGGTATTTTCACAGCCTCCCACTCTGTTATTTCACTGTAACCAGAAAAGACACCAGCGTTTGAGCTTCCTGTTCCTACCAAGCCCAATAAGCAATGACAGAATTTGAATCTTTGATGGGCGCTTGATTCAGATGGCTGGCCATCTGAGAAGATGGTGGGTTCATATCCTAAAAGACCATCTTGCCTTTTCTTTCCAGGGGAGACCTTTTATAAGGGCTGTGGGGGGTGGGGGTGGGAATAAACAAGGTGGGGTGTGGGCTTTGAGATTCAGAAGCTGCAACATTCCTGTCCAGGGCAGTTAGCTGTTCCCAGTGGCAGGCGGTCGTCTGTCTCTCTCTGGAACACAAAGGCCCAGATGCCGCCACTTGTCCCCAGGTGGTAATCTCTGGCACTACCCCAGGAGGTTGGCTGTTCTCCCAGGAGTCAGGATGGGCCTTATCTGTATTTTCTGAAACAAAAACTTTAAAATACACATTACTTTCTAGGCTTATAACTTTTTACCTTAAGGTAAAATATCCAAGTTTTGAGTCCCCTATCATCACCCCCCATTTAATTAATCCCCCAAAATATGTCCTACTGACCATCCCTCCTCCACCTGAGACCTGGTCGGCATCATGCGTTAACTTAGAGATTTGCAAACAATGATATAAACGGAGCCACTTTATAAAGGAACCGGCATAGCCCTGCCAGAGGAACGACCTTGCATATCTTATTACTGCTCAAACCTTTGCAATGTGAAAACAGGGCAAGAGAACTTCTTGCCTGGGCCTAAGGCCACCATGTGTTTCAAAGGACTGTCTGCAGACCTAACAAGAAAGCAGATATTATCACTTTTAGGCTGAAAAGTAGGAACATTGTGTAGCACAAACATCACTGTGTTACGTTATGTACACCAAAAGGTATGTGTTCCTTGGCCCTGAGGTATGTAGCTCAGTGGGCTGGGCATCTTTGGAAAAAGCAAAAGGTCACCAGTTAGTTCAGTCCCTGATCAGGGTATGTGCCTGGGTTCAGAGCCAGGTCTCCACTGGGATACCCATGTTGGAAGCAACTGATCCATGTTCTCACACATCGATGTTTGTCTCCCTCTCTTTCAACCCCCCTTCCCCTCTTTCTGAAAACAAATAAATACAAATCTTTAAAATATGCCCTCCTTCTATGGATATAATTGCTCCCCTTCTCTCTCATTAGTACCCATTCATTGCCTTTGTCTCTCATCAGAACACTCTTTGGGATTCTGTTGGAATTTACACATCCCTAATACTTGAACTTATGGATCTCAACAAATGGCTATTTGTCTCTCACCTGCAAGGCCTTCTATGTGTAGGTTATCAGGTTCTTGGGACCCTTCCTTCTGGGAAGTCCCCACCTAATCCTGGGGCAAGTAGGGTATCACCTTCACCTCACTTCTGAACCCCTCTCCCCTTGGCCTCTCAAGAAGAAGACACAAGACTATTTTAAGGGAATCAATTTCATTATGGAATACTGTCTCCTCCACATGACTACCAAACGACTGTCTGCTCCTACGTTTACAGGTAACAGTTCAGGTTTGGGATAACTTCAACCACCACCACAACCACCACCCCTCCCACTACAAAACAACCTCAGGATTCTCTGTCTGTCTTGATCTTGCACTTAGAGTTCAGAAGAGATGGCCAATGAGAATGGTAGAAGGAGGTGCTGGAATGTGGATGTGGGCCAGCTTACTCGAAGCATAAGCTCGTGTGCGTCAAGACGCAGCAGGCAATGAACTCCCAGGCCTGTGTGAGTCCTCCCTTCACCTCCCCCTGTGGTGTCATCTAGTGGCGCAAACTGCGTCATTACCACCACACCCTCATGCCAGGTCACATCCCAGGCCACCTCAGGGAGAAATGGGAAGGGTGGGTCATGGCATGGAAAAGCAGCCCAAGAGTAAGGGAATTACCTACTCCAGGTTGACCAGAAAACATATGATATACCTTTTTTCTGCTTCCTCTTGCCATAGTTCCTCTCTAGACCCTGAGGTCTCAAATCTGGAAGGAGAGTTTGTTGAACATTCCTCTGCCTCCCCCTAGTGGCTACCCGGGGAGTCTGCAATCAGGCGCCACACTCAGCAGATGAGTGCAGAGCCTAAAGGGTGTGTGCTGGCGCGCCCTTGAGGTTGAAGGGCTGTTGTGTCCAGTCCCTGAGCGTCTGTCTCCAGGACAGGATTTCCAAACAGGACAGACTCTGAGCACAGGTTGGGCAGACATTCTGAAGCATCTTCAGGTTCTCTGGTGCTCAGGCTGCTCCACACTCTTGACTTGTTGTCACTGTGGTGCACTGGGCGAGGCCAACAGGAAGCCCTTGGGCAGAGACACAGAAATAGCAGCCCAGGACGCCTGCCTGTCTTTTTCTTTCCTTCAGCACGTTCTCCCCTGGCCTGTGGACCTTCTCTGCCTCCCCACTGTTGAGCTTGGTGTGCTCATTTCAAATGGGAACAACGCTGCCAACCTGCCCTCCAGAGACGCTGCTCCAATATACACCGTCCTCAACCGCCCGCGTATACCAGTCATTGCAGCCTCGCTCAGACTGCTGCAGATGGTTCGAGATTCCGCCCATCTGATGCAGAAAAACGTCTTGGTTTTCGTGTCCCTTAAAAAAATATTCTTAGCAAGGCTGAGCATCGTTTTTTGCTGTTGTTGTTTTTGTTTATTTGCCTTTGTATTTCTTTTCTTACGACCTACCTGCATGTTCACTTTCATAGATTCATAGCCTATTTCTACATTGGGTAGTTGGATTTGCTTTAAAAAAAAATCCTTGTTAACAAATTAGCGCCTTCAAATGGAGATGAGTAATCTCCCACTTGTCCCTTGCTACACATACATCTTAAATTTTACGTACCCACTTCATTGTTTTCCTCCCCTGGGGTTTCTGAGCTCATATTATTTTCAACACTCTGAAGATATCCACGTGCAGTTTTAGTGTTTCATTTTCTGGGGTTTACTCTTTTATTAGCCTGGGATTTACTTTATGTAAGCTCAGAGAGCAGGAGGGAGGGAACAGGATGAGAGAAACATCAATATGTGGTTGCCTCTCCAACACCCCCTACTGGGAGACCTGGCCCTCAACCGAGACATGTGCCCTAACTGGGATGGAAAGAACCATCTTTTGCTTCACAGGCTGACACTCAATCCACTGAGCCATACCAGCTAGGGCCACTTGAGATTTATTGTAATGTGTGGAATGGGATAGGAATCCACCTTCATGTGTGCATGCAGGGAAAGCTAATTGTCTAAAGTACTGTTTATTGTTGTTAGGAAAATTGGAAAAGTCACTGACAAAAGAAGGAAACTAGGCAGCTATTTAATAGCATACACAGAAATGAACTTGAAATGCACTAAAGGTTTATATATGAGACCTTAAACCATAAAATACCAGGAAAACATAGCTACCAAACTTGTGGACCTTGGTCTCAGAGCAGATTTTGTGAACTTGACCCCAAAGGCCAGGGAAGAATAAAGCAAAAATAAAATGAATGGGACTATCTATATCTAACTAAAAATCTGCACAGCAAAAGAAACTATCAAGTAGACACAAAGGCAACCAACCCGAATGGGAGAAGATATTTGCTAACAATACCTCCAAAAAGGGCTAATATCTAAACTATATAGGGAACTCATAAAACTCAACAAAAAACAACCAATGTAATAGAAAAAAAGGCAGAAGACCTAAACAGACACTTTTCCCCAAAAGACATAAAATGGCCAACAGATATATGAAAAGATGCTCAACTTCACCAGCTATAAGAGAAATGCAAATAAAACCCACAATGAGACACCACCGCACACCTTTAGAATGGCCACTGTCAGTAAGTCAAGAAATGTTAAGTGTTGAAGAAGACGTGGAGAAGAGGGAACCCTCATTCACTGCTGGTGGAAATGCAAACTGGTACAGCCACTGTGGAAAACAGTAGAGAGGTTCCTCAGAAACTTTTGTAGGGCCCGGCAATCCATCCTCTGGGTATCCACCTGACCAATTTGAATCCATTTATTCGAAAAGATTTATGTACCCTCATGTGCACTGCGGCATTTTTCACAGTAGTCATGGAAACAACCTAAGTGTGCTTCGATGGATGATTGGATAAAGATGTGGTACTTTTACACAATGGAATATTTACTCAGCCCTATGTAAGAATAAAATGCTGCCATTTGTGATGACGTGGGTGGATCTTGAGAATACCATGCTAAGTGTAATAAGTGAGATGGAAAGGGCAAAAACCATATGATTTAACTCAAACTTGGAGTATGAAACAGAAAGTAACAAGTGTATAAACATACTCTTAGAAGCAGACAACAGTATGGTGCCTGCCAGAGGGGAAGGGTGGTAGAAAGAGGACAAAGAGGGTAAAGGGGGTCATATGTGTGGTGGCGGAAGAAGACGAGGCTTTGGGTAGTGAGCACACACTGCAATATACAGGTGATGTAGTCTCGAATTGTACATTTGAGTCATATATTGTTAACCAGTGTCACCCCAATTTAAATTTTAATAAAATGATTTCATTCATATGTGAAATATAAAACTGAAAGCAACAGTGAGCAGACAAGAAAAACAAACAATAACTCATAGACACAATATTATGGTGGTTAGCAGAGGAAAGGAGTTGGGGGACATGGTAAAGGGTGAAGGGGGGCAAATGTATGGTGATAGAAGGTGATTTGATTTCAGGTGGTGGGCACACAATGCAATACACAGATCATGTGTCATAGAAATGTACACCTGAAACCTATATAATCTTTTTGACCAATGTCACCTCAACAAATTTAATTTAAAAAAGAATTTTAAATGTCATTTATTGAATGTTACCTTTCTTCTTTATTATATATAAGGGATCTGTGACAATGTGAACCAATCAGTTTCTGGTGACAAGCTCGAGTCAGAAATGTTTCCCCCTACCCTGGCTGGTGGGGCTCAGCGCATTGAGCACTGGACTGAGAACTTAAAGGTCACCACTCCAATTCCTGGTCAGGGCACATGCCTGGGTTATGGACTAGGTCCCCGGCAGGGGATGTGCAAGAGGTAACTAATGAATGTTTCTTTTGCACAAGGATGTTTCTGTCCCTCTCTTTCTCCCTTCTTTGCCCTCTCTTTAAAAAAAAAAAAAAGAAATGTTTCCCCCTTTGCTATACACTGGGAATCCTGGCTGATGTGGCTCAGTTGGTTGGAATGCTGTCCCATAACCAAAAGCTCTCAGGTTCAGTCCCCATTCCTGGCATGTGTGGGAGGCAACCTATTGACGCTTCTCTCTTGCATCAATGTTTCTCTCTCCTTTCTTCTCTCTCTAAAAACAATGAAAAATATCCTTGGGTAAGGGGGGGGGGGAAGGTATACAGGCCTGGTCTGGTCATCTTGGGAAAGCTGTCTCCTTTAGCTCTCATCTGTTTCAATTCCTGGAGATCTTTATTTTCAGGTCTGCAAGTCCATTCAGGGTTTGGTGCTTTCTTTCTCTCTCACTTTTAAAAATCCTCACCCTAGGGCATTTTTTCATTGCTTTTAGAGAGAAAGGAAGGGAGAGAAAGAAGTATTGATCAACTGAGTCCCACACATACCTGGACAGGGATTGGGGTGGGGGGCAAACACACAATCTAGGTGTGTCCCCTGACCAGGAATCAAACACGCAATCTTTCGGTTACAGGACAATGCTTCAACTTGACTACACCAGCCCGGGCTGGTGTTTTCTTTAGATGTGACATGTGAATCTGTCTGTTCCATGGATGTTAGCAGCACAAGGGTTGGTTAACAAGACCTGACAGGGGACTTTCCAGTGAGGTTGAAGAGTGTTTTTGGAGGTGTTTTCTCCAATAAAAACAGAGTGCCCAGGTTGCAAACCATGGTGTTTGAGGTCTTCATGTGCAAAAAGATAGTTCTACTAAAGTACAGTTATTTCTAACAGAAGCTTTTACAATATTGAGGTATATCTTTTTATCAGCTGTGGATCAAAAGAAGCAGGAGCTAAGAATATTGGGCATTCTGCAACTGTCTCAAAGGCTGAGAGTTTACAAGTTTCAAAGGTGGTGGTTGTTCTGAGCTTTAGAAGGACAAATAACGATGCTCTTGGCCAAGGAATCTGGAGGGTCTCTGCAACGTTTACCGACTGGCTCTTTTTCAAAAACTGAAAGAGAGAAAGGAAGGGGGATAGGAAGAGATAGAAAAAGAGAGAGATTGATTTGTTATTCCACTTAATTATGCATTCGTTGGTCGATTCTTGTATGTGCCCTGACCAGAGATTGAACCCACAACCTCCGTGTATCAGGACAACATTCTAACCAACTGAGCTGCCCAGCCAGGGCCACCAGTTGGGTCCTAATGGTAGTGTTAGCCTATTGAACTATTTCCAAGGATTAAGGATAGGATACATGATGAATGTGCTATAGAACTAGACAAACAGCACAGACCTATTGACATGCTTGACCAGGGAAGTGGGTTCCCTGGTCACTATGAAGTTCGAGGTGGGGTTCCCCAGGTTGGGATAATATTTTCTAACAGAATTTTAAGCCAAAGAAGCAGTAGCATATGTACAAGGGAGAACTTCAGTCCACTGAAGAAACATACAAACCATGGCTGAAACACATTTACATCCATGAGACAAAGGAAGCTGAATAAAATCCATTTACCAACCCCCTGGTGATCTTTTGGGCAATTTGAATTGTCCTGGAGCAGTACAGACAGATTTCCCAGGATTATATTTTGGGCAGGTGGGGCAAGCAAAGTAGGCACTTCTTATAGTCTCATTGATATTAACCCACCAATATAAATTCATGAACATTATCATTTTGTCCATAGACTAATAGCTTAATGCATGTATGGTAGTTAGTAATGAACATTTTAGGACTTCTGCTAGGACTGGGTTTTTATTTGGCCCAAACCAGAGTTCTCTCTTTTTATCTAAATAGCAGTTACTAGATTTCCAATATTGTTTTACCTTCCTGGGATCAATGGTTGGTATCTCTAGTCAGGTTTTGTAAATTATCATTTGGGGAAACATCCTTTTTGACCATGAGAGAGGTTTGGTTATTGGTTCCTTTGAGAACAGAATTCTTGGCAAGAATGTATCAGCAAGGTGGTTTCCTTTAGCCCTCAGAGAGTGGTTTGGAATGCCCAGGGTTCTTAAATAATAGCCGAAGAGGCCACAAAAAATATGGCATCTAATAAATTCTGGACATAAGAACTATTTTTAATGTTAACCTCATTAGAGATATGAAACACTGCTGTTTCCATACCATTCCAAAGTCAAGGGCTACTCCAAATGCATACCAACTGCCAGTATAAATATTTGCAGTTTTATCTTTAGCTAGAGCACAAGCACAAATAAGACTATTATTCAGCTTATTGGACAGAGGTAAAAAATGCTTCCTAAATAACTTCAAAAGACGTTTCAATAGCATATCCAGCAGAATATTTACTATTTCCATTCTTTAAATAAGAACTATCAGTAAACCATGAAAAATCTATCTGCATTGGTTAGTTTCCTGTAAGGTATCATGGGAAGCCAAAAGGTGATCTGTCAGCATTAAGTAGTTGTGAGGGGTTTTGTTCATTGAGGAAGATTATTACAGTAGGAATGAGGTATATGAGGAGCAGTTAGTAAAAGAATCATAGGTGAGACTGGCCAAAAGGTGCTGAGTGTGATTAGAATTCAGGGCTTCTACTACATGCAATACAGATGGTTAGAGGGGATCACATGACTTCTCTGGTGGCCTTAACCAAAAGGGCATGGCTCTGAGATGGGGAAGAGGGTATCCTCATGCCACAGGATCTCTAGCTGTTGGCTGTAATGCCCTGTGGGTTGATGATGGTCTGCCAATGTTTTTGGGTGAGCACTCCAAACTAACCCTAACCCTAACCCTTCCTTCTCATAAAAAAAAGGTAAAAGGGGAGTTGACAATGAAGATATCCAAGGGCAGGGGATTTATTAAGTTTTCTGAAGGATTAAAGGTTGCCACCTTGATCTTTCCAAATAATGGGGCCAGGGTTGTTTTTTAGTGAAGCATGTAGGGTTTGGGCAATTAAGAGAGAAGTTTGGAATCCAATTTCAACAATAACCAGGTAGACTGAGAAAACCTCTTAATTGTCACTTAGTTTTAGCTGAAGGTAAATTCGTGATGCCATGAAACCCATCTGGATCTAAATGTAATCATTACTCAGACATATATTCTAAATATCACACCTGAGTTTGATGCAACATTAACAGTGCAGAATAAATGCACTTAAAAATTTTTGAGTTGTGTCTGTAGTTGTTCCATTGTGAATAGCATAAAAACTTGAGGAAATGCTTTCCCCATATTCCAGCACTATTATTTGATTTAGAAGTTATTTCTGTCAGTGATGAATGTGTCTGCACTGTTTTGTTTTTGCCTTAAACATTAACATGAGTGAGAATAACAAACAACATTCATGTCAGGAACATACTCAAAATCACTTGCAAGCACAGATTGACTACAGATACAAAAGCCGCCAGTGAGTCATAATCTGTTGCTGCTGGAGTCTTGCCTTGATGTTGATGACTGCTGACAGATCAGGATGGTGGCGGCGGAAGGCTTAGGTGGCTGTGGCAATTTCTTAAAATGAGACAAGTGAATTTTGTTGCATCAATCAACTCTTCTATTTACAAGTGATTTCTCTGTAGCATGCAATGCTGTTTGATAACATTTTACACACAGCAGAATTCATTCGAAATAGGAGTCAATCCTCTCAAACCCTGCTGCTGCTTTGTCAACTAAGTTCACTTAATATTCTAATTTTTTTGTCATTTCAATAATCTTCACAACATATTCACCAGGAGTAGATACTATTTCAAGAAACCACTTTCTCATTCATAAGAAGGAACTCCTCATTTGTTAGTTTTATGAAACTGCAGCAATTCAGTTACATCTTCAGGTTCCACGTATAATTCTAGTTCTCTTGCTATTTGCACCACATTTGCAATTACTTTGTTCTATTGAAGTCTTGCACCGCCCTCCAGTCATTTATGAGGGTTGAAATAAACTTTTCCCAAACTCATATTAATACTGATATTTTTGATATTTAGACCTCTTCCCATGAATCACAAATGTTTTTTAAAAACATTCACAATGTGTTTATTTAAAAATTCTATATACTTATTTACTTATTTTAGAGGGGGAAGGGAGGGAAAAAGAGAGGGAGAGAAACATCAGTGTGTGGCTGCCTCTTATGCACCCCCAATTATGGACCTGGCCTACAACCCAGGCATGTGCCCTGGCTGGAAATTGAACCAGTGACTCTATGGTGTGCAGGTCAGTGCTCAATCCACTGAGCCACACCAGTGAGGGCACATATGTTCTTAATGGCATGTAGAATCCTTTTCCAATATCCATCAGAAGAATCACTATCTGTGGTATCTATAGCCTTATGTAGTTCATAAATAGTAAGAATTGGAAATCAAAATTACTCTTTGGTCCATTGGGTGCAGAATAAAGTGTTAGCATGGATTAAGATAAATTTTTTTTAAATATTTTATTATTTATTTATCTTTAGAGGGGAAGGGGGGGAGGAGAGAGGGAGAGAAACATCAATGTATGGTTGCCTTTTGTGCGTCCCCTGCTGGGAACTGGCCTGCAGGGAACCGGCCTGCAACCCAGGCATGTGCCCTGACTGGGAATCGAACCGCGATCGTGTGGTTCGCAGGCCCGAGCTCAATCCACTGAGCTACACCAGCCAGGGCGGATTAAGATAATTTTTTAAAGATTTTATTTATCTTTGGAGAGGAAGGGAAGGAGGGAGAGAAACCTCCATGTATGGTTGTCTCTCATGTGTCCCCTGCTGGGAACTGGCCTGCAACCCAGGCATGTGCCCTGACTGGGAACTGAACCGCGATCCTCTGGTTCACAGGCTCGTGCTCAATCCACTGAGCTACACCAGCCAGGGCAAGGATTAAGATAATTTTTATGTACATCTCTATGAGAATTCTTGAGTGATGAGGTGTACTATCAATTAGCAGTAATATTTTAATAGGACTTTTTTTTTTCTGAGCAGCAGGTCTCAACAGTAGGCTTAAAATGTTCAGTAAACCATCTTATAAACAGATATGCTGTCACCCAGGCTTTGTTTTTCCCTTTATAGATCATAAACAGTAGAATTAGCATAGTTCTTAAGGGCCCCAAGATCTTCAAAATAAATGAACACTGGCTTAAACTTTAAGCCACCAGCTGTATTAGCCCCTAAGAGTCAGCCTGTCCTTGAAGTTTTGAAGTCACACTTTCTATGAAAGTCCCAGATGGAATCTTCCAATATAAGGAAGGCTGTTTCAACATCTGTTCTTTTTTTAAATAAATATTTTATTTACTTATTTTTAGAGAGAGGAGAAGGGAGGGAGAAAGAGACAAACATCAATGTGTGGTTGCCTCTCATGTGGCCCCCACTGGGGACCTGGCCTGCAACTCAGGCCTGTGTCCTGACTGGGAACTGAACTGTGCCGGTGCTCAATCCACTGAGCTACACCAGCCAGGGCAACAATCTGTTCTTTAGTGTAGCCATCCTCATTCATTTTCTTAGCTACTACATCTTCTTGATAATTTGTTGCAACTTCCAAATCAGCCCTTGCTGCTTCACTTTGCACTTTATGTTAGAGCTGGATTCTTTCTTTAAACTTCACAAACCAGCCTCTCTTAGCTTCAAACTTTTCTTCTACAGTTTCCTCACAACTCTCAGGCTTCCTTCATAGAACTGAAGAGTTAGGGCTTTGCTACATATTAGACTTTCACTTAAGGGAATGTTGGGGCTGACTGGATCTTCTATCCAGACCACTAAAACTTTCTCCCTATCAACAGTAAGGCTGTTTTTCTTTTCCTTTTCCTACCATTTTTGTTCACTGGAGTAGCACTTTTAATCTCCCTCAAAAACTTTTTCTACACATTCACAACTTTGCTAACATTGGTGCCATAGGCCTACCTTTCAGCCTGTCTTGAGTTTCGACCTGCCTACCCCACTAAGCTTAATCATTTCTACTTTTGATTTAAAGTCAGAGATGTACTACTCTCCCTTTCACTTGAACACTTAGAAGCCATTGTGGGGTTATTAATTAGACCAATTTCAATATTGTTGTGTCTCAGGGAATGGGGAAGCCTGAGAAGGAGAGTGAAGGGGGAATGGCCA